GTCTTTGAACTAAACAACAGATATAAAAGTAGGTTGTTGGCATGCTTTTCCCAAGCCTTCTGGGTTCAAAGAACGCGCAAAAAAAATTGTCGATCAAACGTTTCGCTCGTGTTCTTAATCGAAAACGTCTTTACCGCGCCATGCTTTCGGTTGCAAGCGTTTTTTGATCGAGCGCAAAGCTGTAGAGAAAGCTGGCAGGAGCGAAGCACCGACGCGCGTCGATGGAAAGAAGAAAGAATACACTGCCCTGCCCTTAAATTCGTGCGTAACTGGCTTAAGTTATACAGACCATAATGTAGATCACGTAGATTCATCCGTAGCGCATGCGTATTAAAGGATACTTTGCCAGACAAAAATATGTTGCTTCAAGTCTCTGCACGGCATGAGAAGTTAATAAGCACTTGACATGGCCTTATATTTCCGACTGTTTAGGTGATCAGGTCAGTAATATCAGCTTTTGGTGGATTAATCAACTACTTGAGTAAAATTTAACTGTGAGATGGGCGGGGAACACTTTAGGTCAGTTGTTCACACAGTGCGCGTGCAGACTTGTTGAACCGGCGCCACAACCTCTACGGACCTAACTACGGACCACGTTTTGCCAACCAGGGCACAAACATGAGACAGGGGTGAGAGAGGAATGGAGAGAGCGAGGAACCTACCTTAACTTTCCTCTTCTCCAGGTCCTTCCCAACCAATTTCGTTCCCAGAGCATTTTTCCGCCCGTCCCATTTCTTAGGGGAAAAAGCCCTGGTAACGAAGTTGCTTCGCAACCCCGCTGCTTGTCTCCACAAGATTGTTTCTCAAGGATAACTGTACCACAGTAGTGATTTGATAGCGCGCATAATCACAGCGTATTATCGCACAATAGGCGGATTTAATTTTTCTGAACCAATCAACGCAAGAAGAGAAGCACTGTACGTTTTCATTTGCGCTGACGCAAGGCCTGACACAATTTTTAGCTTTAAAAAAAGCTTGTCAACGAAACGAGTTCAATAGTCTAGGGCGGTACAATTTTGTTTGCTTGATTACACATACAGTCGCTCCTAAACAAAACTTTCTCGACTTTTCTTAGATAAACTCCACCGCAGAACATAACAAAATTCAGTACACCGTAATCTTGATCTTTCGAAAACAAAATGTTTATGGTAAAATATTGTTTTAGAAAATCCTTGAAAAAAAAGTTGTAAAATAAATCGAAAATGAAAAACTTGTAAAATGAATTAAAAATGAAATCTCTGCTTTGGAAACAGAAGAGAAAGATGTCAAGAACAGACCAGCCTGAAGAGTTATCACTCAATAAGGAATCACTCAATAAGGAGCGAAACTGTAGCTTTAAATATCGGTCTTTTTGAAGCAGCATGGAAATGTAATTAGTTTTAAGGTCATAAAAACTTATAGGTCAGGAAACCTCTTTTGGTATCATCGAAGCTGTCGAAAAGTTGCGAAGATAAATCCATAACTGCTAAACAAGAAAAGAGAAATAAACTTCATCCAACAGGCTAGAACAGTAACTGAAGTTTCTGTGGCGTGCGTCTTTCAGTAAATGCCTGATATCATTATTTAATACTTAAAGGTTACAATATCGAAAACATGAACCTCTTTGTCGCCGATTGGGTTGAAATTACAGACAAAAGTAAACACGGGAAGGGAAAATCCTTTAACAACCAAATAATAATGTCAAAATGTTAAGAAGCTTAAAATTTATGGCCACGAATTAAAGAATAAGGTGGTACTTAAGATCTAAGTAAGGCTTCTTTTCCACGACTTATGACACGCTATGGGTACGTAAGACAATTGCATCTTGATTTGTAAGCAGTTTATGTTGGAAATCTACGGGGGATAAATAAAGGTTAAAATCCCTGAAATATTTCACTTCTATGTAAGCACATTCGCGGCAGATTTTTATCGCAAACAAACTGAGCTTTCGTCTTCCGTTTTCAAAAATAGTAAAAACAGACGGTCTAAGCTATGTTTGCGTATTGTTTCATGCCTTCATTAACAGCACCTAGATTACATTTTGTATAATTAAGCAGCACAGAATCAGCCAGGTTCAGTCTTTAGTTTGGTGTTGAAGTTCAAATTGCTCTACTGTTAAAGTTGGACCGCACGCGTGGGCATCAATTATCTGGTATTAATTGCTATTATTATAATACCTTAAAAACTTTAATTGGATTAAAAGAATGAGATGGTATGGCTGATAAGGGATGTAAAAGGAAAAGATTCGGACAAATTAGTATTGAAAGTTCAAGGGCGATGGACAAAACTGGCAAGAAGGAACTATCAAAGGCCACAACAATCAATCCTCACCAGTTAGACAATTTGATCATTGAGCGCTCAACTCCATTTGCTATAGCTTTTTTTTCGAGAACAGAATTCTCGACCTCCGACATTGAAAACCGCGTTCTCGCGGCAAAAACGTTGGGTGTTGAAAGAAGCATGTTTGCTACGAGTAAACGCGAACGATGGCGACAACAAAACGTGAACATGGCGTTCTTAGAATTGAGGAAAATCCTTCCCACGTATCCGCCAGACAAAAAGCTCTCCAAGGTCGATATTTTGCGACGTAGCATCAAGTACATACGGTTCCTGGACAGCGTTTTAAAAAAGATGGACAAATTAGAGGGAAATGAACAAATGAATGAAGAAGACAGCTTTACCGGTGAGGTTATGAATTTAACATCTAGTGACAAGGAGTCATTCGCACCAAGATGGAGAGATTCGCGCCCAAATAAAAGTGTGACTATTTCCGATAATGTTTAACACATTCTAACTTTACAAATGAAGTCAACATCTCGAAGAAGCAGAGCGACGTAAACGAAGCGATAAGCAAGGCATAAAAGCTAGAACCCTACAACACTTAATAATTTTTTTAATTACTCACTAAGCGATAATGTTTGTTGACTGTAGGATCGAAAGCTTATTTAGCGTTCACACTGACTAACAAGGCCGGTCGGATAGTTTATATTCTTTCGACAACTCGGTAGCTAGCACTAAAGACGATTATGATAAACCTTTCTCAACTCACAATCTAATGAGGGGAGTATTGTTGAGGGTAGTTTCGAAAACGAAGCACTCGAAAACGAAGACCGAAGCACGATTGAGAAGGGTATTACCCGTCATTGAAAAGAAGACACGTTTTTGAAATCAAACAGGGTATTTCATACGGTCAACCTCAAGCCCCGGCCCGGAGGGGAGAGTCCCTTTAATACAACCTTTTCACTTATGCTTTAGGTATATAAAAGGGTAGCGATTTCTCGGTTGAGGTATATGAAGGGCAGGTAAATCTGTTATTTAGGCTGGTACTTGAAACGTCCTTTTAGCTGCAGGCGCCAGTTTTTTTGGGCGAAGGGAGAAACTTCGAGGACGCCTTCGCTAGTAACCGCTGCCTCACAGGCTACTTTAAAGTTATGAACGTTTCGAACAGACGCACCTTGTGGCTGTTCATTTGTATAATAGAACTTGATTAACCTCTTTCCATGTTCCAAATATGAATGCAGTGTTCTCAAGTAGGCATGTGAAGGGGGAAACCATTTTTCAGTAGAAGATATGCGAAATAAAGAGGTACATGTATTTCTGTCAAAAATTGTATATAAAAGAGTAAGGGGTTGGACCTCTGAACAAAACCTGCCCGAATAAATTTTACTGAAACCTCCCCTCCCGGTACACCAAACCCGTATCCTTGATGAGAATGAAGTCTCTCACTCAGTTCGAGTGGAGAGAGAGGTCTTTATAATTTGAAAAGAGCTCTCAAGTTTAAAGAAGTTGGTTTAATTATCGTGAAAAAATAAACATAGGAAATTTTGTCATTTTGTTCTCTGCTTCAGACTAATTTTAACTGTTATAACAACAATGTTAATTTATTCAAAGCAAAAACAAAGCTGATCTCGATGACCAGTGGCCAATCAGGTACACGTAGCAAGCAACTAAAGCTTTTGCGTATCCTGTATGGTTATGCTGGCATGATCTATCCAAAACGTATTTACTACCTCGGGGCCCCCACTGAAAGCAGTTCTCCAACTGAAGCGGTTTATCACACGTACTGAATAACTGGTATCATTACTGTTACAACTAGAAAGCTTAAGACACTCGCGATGGTCTTACATCCGGATAAAATGGGGCTTGTTTGAGTCGATTGCGCAAGTGAATGCTGACACTGCGGACATCGTGCTCTAGACACACTGGGACTGGATTGAGTCGGTTGAGCAAGTGAATGACACTGCGTACTTCTTGCTTTGGCAGAACCTAAAATCGAGAGATGTTGTAGCGTCATCTTGCATTCAGTTTTGTTTGACGTCGGATTATCAGGTTAACCAGGAAAATCTCATGATCTTATCCAAATAGTTTTCAACAGAAAATAGTAATGGAAAACGTTGATCCAAATTGGATCAGTTTAGGCATAGTTATTTCTAGGAAACTGCCCACCTAACCCAAAATTTTCCACTAAGTGAGAAGTAAGTGTTAATATAACAGGAGCCGGCTCCTGGTGTTAATGTTGACTCAGGGGAGGGGATAGGTGGGCAGTTTCCGGAAGAAGTAAAACGCCAACGGGGCTATGTCATTGCTTTGTTTTTAAAAGGTTCAAACGTGTCTTCGCATCACTTTAATTCCAACCATAATGGTCCAGTGTTGTTATTTGAGACTTAATTTAGGTATTGAAACTGTTTGCTGTCGTCTATTGCCACGGACGGCAAGGATGAACATGGATTGAAACTTGAAAATATTGGGCCAAATTTGTCAAGTTTCAATGCTGTGCCTGCAAAAAATATTATCGCTGGTGCTCCCTGATTAATTTTTTTTGATATCGTCTTCATAACTCTACATGAGCATTTTGAGTGGCTACTTTACCGACCATCTCCCTCAGAAAAAAATCGGACAAGGGGCCCTTTTCCCCTTCTCCGATTTTTTTCTGAGGGGAGGGGAGGTCTCTCCACAGGCTAATATTGAGAGGCTCTAGGTAGTGACTTCAGCACGAATTGACCTAAAACAGCAATATCCTCGTAAGTAAACGTACCCTTTGAGGAGTGTACCACCAGTGACCATTCATACGCCCTGTAGGTGCCTGTAAATGACGTCACCACACCAAATCTATTGCACACTAGTTGTCTATAAAAAAAAGGAAAATGTAGTGGGTGTCCAAGATATTACAATTTATAAAATAACTAAGATAGTACACGCGTTCTGACTGGTTAAAAACCTATGGTTTATTGTGCCGGTAAACTCATAGAAAACTTAAAGTCATTTTATAAAAGCAATAGACAACACTTTCTATGGGTTTACCGGCGTGACAACCCACTTGGGATGTTGGGAGAACACTCGAAAAGCTTGCAAATCACTCGCCTTCAGCTCGTGATTTACAAGCTTTTCTCCCAACATCCCAAGTGGGTTATCACGCTGGTAAACCCGTAGAAAATGTGGTCTATTGCTTAAATAAACTATCTTATGTCAGAATATTGTAAAGACTATTTCAGATTAGATATCGTCTCGATAGGAAATGTGGAATAAATGCAAACATTTTTGCATTCAACCAATGAATTCCACCCGAACTGCGTTCACAACTGCGAGGATCATTCCTCATTTGATTTCATTTCCGCAGTTCTCATACACGATTTATTTCATATACACTTGTCACATTCATCTCTTTCACTGGAACAAATGAACACATAATTGACCAGCTCCCAACATCAGTGACTTCAATCATAGCTTAGTTGGTCAGAGCATCGCACCGGTATCGCGAGCTCAAGGGTTCAAATCCCGTTGAAGTCCTGATTTTCTTTTCTTTTTTTTTTTCAGGCTTCTTAAGCAATTGCATAATTTGCGTTCTCAATTTCGAGGATCATTCTTCATTTAATTTTACTATTCCGATACCTCTCTCCGCAGCAGAGGCCTCCCTGTGTTGTGGGGAGGACGGGGAGAAAGAAAACGAGAGCGCGCAGGGCACGATGGGAAGACCTTTTTCCCCTTTCCATCGTTCCTCGCGCGCTCTTTCGATTATTGCTATTTTATAGGGATGCCCAAAGCGGGAGCCTCTGCGGAGGAGAGAGAGTTCCGTTACTCACTTTAGAAGCCCCACTGTGTCTCCTCCCCCTGTATCACTGCCGAATCCCCATTTCCACAATTCGGAATCGCGGGAACTCTTTCGTTCAATCGTTTCCACTTGGTTTACGTCTCCACTGACGGAACTTTCAGCCAGATAAAAAGCAATCTACAAATATAAACCAAACGTTTTCTTCTTTGTTTGAAAGACAGCTAGGACCAGTATTATCAAAACGTTTCCTCAAAATTTACACGCTACAAGTAAGCAAAAACTGCCTTGAATTGGTACCTGGTGATTCAACTTTTCCTGAAAATAATTTTCTACAATCCGTGGAAAACCATAAACTCATTTGTCTTCTTAGACATTTCACCCATTCAAATTGTTCTCTAGAAGGTTATGATGCACTTTCTTACCAACAAAGATATAAAGATTATTCATCATACAGGCATTTCAAGAGAGCACTGAAAGAGTGACTGGAAGCTGTGTTGTATTTAAGTGAATCGGGGAGCCATAACAAAGTTGTGTTTTTCTATAAAAAGTGGGTAGATAGTTAGATAGATAGATAGACAGACAGACAGACAGACAGACAGACAGATAGACAGACAGACAGATAGATAGGGAGACAGACAGACAGATAGACAGACAGACAGACAGATAGACAGACAGACAGACAGATAGACAGACAGATAGATAGATAGATAGATAGATAGATAGATAGATAGATAGTTAGTTAGTTAGTTAGATGGATAGATAGAGAATAATGAGAATTAGGTATACAATTTAAAAGTAAAAATATCCAAACTATGTATTACAATCTAATGAGAATCTGAAATGACTGAGAGAGAATTGTAAAATTAAATAATTATGATGAGCAGAGAAAACAGCCCTTACATCCATCATCTATCATTGAGCTTACATCATTTTTACGAATTCTGCTCAGTTTAAAAATGTTCAAAGCTTTCGCTGATGTTAAATCAGGAGGGAATTTTCGCCATAACCTAGGCCCAAGATACCTTAAAGAATGTTTACGAGATGTCACAAGAATGTTTTGAAAACTTTTTACCGATCGATATGAAAGGTTAATTTTACAGAACATTCGGTCTATAAGCGGCGATGATTGTTTTACATTTCAGTTCGCTGCGTTGTGCGAGCGTGTACTTACCAATACAACTTTACTGATGGATACATTAGAGGGTAAACTGAGAATCCAGTTAACTGGTTGGTAACTTCCAAGTACGAGAACAATCGACCTGTTTGACTTGCCGTGACTGATGATATTTACAGTAGCATGACCGGTCCTTCCTGGAGTCTCGTGCATGGCCAGCACATGGACCTCGTACTGGGTAGAACTGTTGCCGGGCGTGCAGCTGTAGATTGCGTGTCCGCCGTTATACCGTGGTTTGGCAAGAGCTGTATCAGCATTCACCTCGATCTTACATCCATATGCATCAGCTAAAGAAAAAGTTGCCAGTAATACAGGGAAGGAGGGTTAGTGTTCCACGGCATTTTACGATGTAGGCGTGCAGGTTGCAAATCACCTGAGGATAACTTAGAATTCTTTCTTTTCTTTTTCTAAATTTCTCTAATTGAACAAAATTTTAACTTCTGTATCTTGAGTCGCCACACACTCCCGCGTGAGAACTAAAATTATTTTACTTCACGGACTTTGCTAAGGGTTGCAATTTTTTCTATTATATACGCGATTTGATAGCGGCGTTGATTCGTCACTACAACTGTGCCAAAACTATACTTACGCAAGCAAGTATTATAATCGTAGTCTTGATTATTACAGACGCAGTAACCATCTTTGCAGACAGCCGCCATTGTCCTTAACACACCAGGACAAGAGTATTTGCTCTCACATCTCTTCCGCTGTGCAGAAACATATGTTAAGCAGAAACTTAAGGAGGCAAGCAAAATAGCAAAGGCAAAGGAAATGGTGTCCATGATCAGTGTTTGTTTCCTGCGAAGACAAAAGAATTATCAGGCTAAGATTTGACAGGTGTACAGTATCGATCCTTGAGAAATGAGCCCTTTTTGCTAGCAGGAATTTCGTAAAGTTAGGACTGTCAAGTACCGTATCACAGCAATACTTATAACATGTTTTAAGATCGATAAAAGCAAGACAATTTTGCCTCTTCGTGAGCGGGTAGAACAGCGCTACTTGCTCTGACTTAAAGGGAGTTTAGGGAACGGTGAACTATGATTAATCAAACCCGCTGGTTGGAGTGTCTTGTATCTGAGAGTTCACATCTTTTCATCCAAAATCAAATCCGTTTCTTTTGTGTAACCCGGAGTATATTACCCTTCCTGCTTTCCTAGTTTCTTGCATTTATCCGTTTAATTCCCTTACAACCCTCACCAAGAGCTAGCTACATTCTTCTTTCGAAAAACAGTACTTTTCCATAAATCACGTGTACAGTTTATTTCCAAGGTTACAGTTGCATATGACGCGCACGGAATGACAACGCATGTTTTGCGGAAACATGACTCCGATCCCCTGATGCATGACGCTTTAGGGCAACCCAAAGTGTCGAGTTGGAGGAATATTTCTCAAGAGTTCTTTTCTAGATTAGATTTGCTAATCCCAACCCTATTAAAATATTTGTCTTATGGACCATCTCAAAAAAGTGTTCAGGGTAACCTCTCTGCAGACCTTGTTACTCATGCAGAAAAGGCCGCGGTTGCCATTTAGCCTCACGCCTTTAATATAAGTGCATGTTGTTAATTTCAAACACGCAAAAAGGCAGAACAATTTTACTACGTTTACTCCAAACGGCATTTTGAGTCGAATTTGTGTGTTTTAAGGAATGGATTAAATTCCGTTTTCACCGGCAGTGTGCCAAATAATTTGATGCAATCGTCAAACATCCAAAGGTAATATAGTGAAATTTTGGCCTCTCAAGGATGTATACGAACAAGACCAAGACACCATTGCGGAATTCATTAAAAGGTGAATAAACGCCTAAAAGAATGAAATTGAAGACAAAATTGACGTAGAAATCATGAACCTTGCTGAAAATTCTTGAAGGAATCAGTCATGAATCACTGGAGTAAAATACGACGGGGAGCACAAACATCACACACAATTTAACGGATTCCGCTCCTACCCCCGACACTTACCTTAATTTGTTAGTGGTTTAGTGGCTTGTTTTGTTTACTGTTACTAGTGCGGTCAAGTCTAACTGCAGAGGTAAAGTTTAATTTCTTCTCTTCGCTAATACCACACGAACTTTCATTGGATGAATGAAGTGAATACTTTAAAGTCTGATCAAACAGAATAAATTTCACACACAGTTCATAAAGACTAAACTCCGCTACTCATTAGACTGAAACAATTTAGCCCGGCGTATACACTCTTTTTTTTTTATAAGAATATATTTTATAAGAATATCGAGGCTGAAATTTGCGAAATTTTAAGAATATTTTAAGAATAAAGCCGAGGCTGAGATTTTGAAAAGGATAGATATAATTTTGTGTGTTGAAACATCTGTAAATACAATACAATTTTATGTTTTTAACTTAACCGTATAAAATTATTCCTTTCTCTGAACGGCGAAACTAGCCAACAAAACGAATAAACCTGCACTAGCTATGGCAAAATGTTCAACGCTAATGACAGTTCGATGAACGGTACATGTAATACATATACCCCAATAAATTCTAAAACGGAAATGTCATAAGCTATAATTTAAGAATAATACAAGAATATTTTCAGCCTAAAATCGGCAGAAAAATAAGAATATTCAGCCTGGGCCGGAAAAACAACATTCTTATAAAAAAAAATGAGTGTATGCAACTAATTGGCTGCATGCCAAGAATGACGTACCGGGTATGAAAGTAATTTTCCGTTGAAGTTAACTCTGAAGGAGATGTTACACGAGACGACTCGCAACGACGATTTTTAGCGCAACACAGCATTGCAACATTGTTGCGACATTGTTTCTAATGGTTACAGCATTGTTCCAACATTGCAACGCTGTGTTATGATAAAAATCGTCGTTGCGAATAGTCGTTTGTAACCTCACCTTAAGACTAATATCGATGACATGGTTTTATAGAGTGATTTTACTTAACACGTGAAACAGTATCTAAAAATTAGTGCCAAATAGTCAGAAGTAAACAAAAGAAAACAATAAAATACAGCGTAGTATTTGACTATCTATTTCACGGGTTAAGTAAAATCACTCTCTGTCCGCATTGTGGCTACAGTTCACTTTACAAAACTATCCGCCAAAAGTCATAACAGGACTACAAAGATATCTAGCGAAGAGTTGCTACAAGAGAGAATAAATATCTCTCTTGGTTGCCATAACTGATTGTAGGCCCTCTTTTCGTTGTATAATCACTTTCAAGTACGAACAGTAAATATAACAACCTTGGTGCTTAAACATTCCAATGCGCCGTCCAAATTTTGCGTGTATATTCGCGGTGAACAGGATGGCTGGGATAACGGACAACACGCTTCACGTAGCTGTTTGCCGTAACAATATCACAGAAATCATTGGATATATACAACTAACTGCAGGACTTAGAGCTATTTGACCAGATTGAGGCCAAATCGCGAGTGAAGAAACCAGCAAAGGAAAAGGTGAGATTAAAATAGCGAGAGCGAGAAGTAGAGAAAACAGCAATGGTCGCATTCTTAGCTTTTATACTGGATACTTTGGAGATACTTTGAGCGACAATGTTTCGAAAAATCCGGCTAAATGATTCTCCAAAACCAAGGGGTCTGAGGCCAAATGACCTGAAAGGGTGTTGACAAAGATTGTCGCAATGCTTTGGAAACGTCTGGCTGGTTTTTTGAAAACCTGTCTACCAAAAAATTGCATTCAAGGAGTAAAATCGGATAAAGACATACGTGCTCAAATGATTAAAAGTATAAAATAATCATTATATTCGGCTATGCTTAACTCATTTTAACTTTACAAATGAGGTCAACATCTCGAAGAAACGGTGCGACGACAACGAAACGATATATAACGCTGAGAGGTCAGGTTCCTACAACGCTTAATGCTTTACAGGACTGAGTGAAGATTGAAAGATTTATTAGCATGTCACTAACATTACGACGCAAGGATGGATACACTTATTCAGCAACTCGGTAGCACCAAACAGTCTTGGTCTTTTTTGAGGTTTCCATTCATTGATGTTTCTCAATTCACAATCCGCTGGGATATTGTTGAAGGGCCTCAGCGAATGAAACTTTGTCGAGAAGCACCCCCCCTGCCCCCTGTCCCCCTCCCCCCCCGTGACTTCAAGCCTCACTGTAAAGATTTAGTCTAATTCAGTTTAATAAGTACAGTGTTTAACAAAGTTGATGCGAAACAAAAGCGTCAACTTCAGCGGCTAACAGGAGAACGCCTGCGTAGCAAGCATTTCCGTACGGTTTCGGAGCAGAGAACGAGGAACAAGAGTCAAAGATCGCGCGAAAAATGACGCGAATAAATGAGAACCAAACGAAAACGCTTGCCCCGCAGGCTACGCATTAATCATTGGTAACGTTAGGCGCATGTGAAGTATAATGCGGACTTGTCCATCACTTATGGGTGCACTCTAAAAGCAGACTACCACACATGTTGAATAATTGTTGTTACTTATAACCGGACATAGAGAAAGTGATGTGTTGAGCAAGTGACCGAAACTACAGACTTCTCTTCTCGTCGAGGTTTTCTTGAGACTCCACCTCTTGTTTCAACTGCTTAACCATCTTGATTAATTCCTGAATACTCTGAAATGTATGTAATTTAAAACAATAATAAAAAAGTAAAAATAAAAGGAAATACTAACAATTCCATTAAAAAAAAGTGGCAACGCTAGCTTACAATGCAGCAAGCAACACAAAACTTTACAATTCGTCTTCAATTTTTTGGAAAGTTACATATCGTCGTCAACTCTCACACCAGGGGTCTTAAGTTGGACGTTCTGTAACAAGCTTTTGTATCTAAATATGACAGTGACCAGAAATTGGTTGACATATCAATAAAAACGCATTCGAAAAGTGGGTAGATTTGTTTCGCAACCAGGCAAACTTGAGTCTCTTTTCCAGTCAAGTGGCTCATGGAATGCTAAGCCCACGTTAGTTGGCTTTTTCCCGTACAAACCGAAAAATAACCACGACTTTAAAGCAGGTAAAAAGGTTCTTGGTTTAATCCAATTGATGCCTGCCGCTGGTTCTCACTAATATTTTGTATTAACATCGAACGAATTGCATCATAACAAAATTACTCCGAGGAATTTCGAAGGTTGCACGATACCCTGCAGATTCCTGAGGTTACCCGAGAAATTCCGAAGATGACCCAAATCCTTCGGAAACTATATTCCCGAAGATACTACGCGAAATATGATTCATTTCATATATTTCAATTCATGATACTACGCGAGTCGAGCAATTTTTCAATTCTGAGACAAACGCAGAGTATCAATCCTTTTGCACCACTTCATGTGATTTCGTAAATGACCTAATAAACGCCCAGTTCCAAATAAACGCCTCTTATCTAATAAACGCCCTGTAACACGCCCCCTCTACGATGTGAAAATTGTAGAAGACGCCCCTCTCTCATAAACGCCCCCTAGGTAATAGACGTCCCCTATGAGAATTACTCCAAAATACTAGGAAATAGCAAAAACGAGAAAAATCATTCAATTCATTCAGTTACTTGCCTTATTAACAAGACTTTGCGTATTTCATCTTGTCTAAGGCCAAGTTTAAAGTAAGGATAGACTAACGATGGCAACACAATAACCCTGGGCGAGGATTCTGACATCGATGTCGGGATTTGAAAGAGCGATTTGTATCTCGTAGACGTATTAATTGATGAATCACATATTCCGCTATTTCTTAACTCCCTTGATGTTTTCGCCGAAAGCATGTTAGTTTTTTTGAGCTTGTTACAGCAATGGGAATAAACGCCTCTCTCTTTTAAACGCCTCCTATCCTCGCCTTTCTGAGGTCATTTCGAGGCCCCTTTTCCGCCCCACCTCCAAAGCCAGGGAAAAACGCTTTGGGGACTAGGCGAGTTGCAATGGATGTAATAAAGTGGGTTATCTCTGCATCCAAGAAATTTTTTGTGACAAAATCTCCGTGTACGTCCACCCATTTATGTTAGCGGACTTGAAATATCACACTTACTAACTTGAAGTCCAAGGTATACATGTGTATGTTGTGGTTCATTTTTATACTTGGTATATCATACATTACCATACCCAAAAACAAAAGAAAGAAAGAAGTGAAACCAGGGATAAAACTGAACCACGACATATACAATCTCTGTTATACTTGATATTGTATCCATGTTATGGTCATGTGACAGCTGTCAAAAAAGGTATACGCTGACCAGTGTCACATGACTGTATCGCGAACACAGGTGTACAACTAACTGAGGCGACGTATTTTGCAAATTTCTCCGCTGGCCAGTTATTGGATTTTAATTGATTGTAATCAGGTCCATTTTTTTAGGAGGAATCAGATTGCTTCTAGCTCATGATGACAAATGTTGAATTACTGCAGAAAGACTTTTCTTAAAAGATGCTACGAGAGCTTCCCTTTTAGCCTTGGTTAAATATATTATAAAATGGCAAATGAAACAATACCAATCATCGCAATAATTAATTTTACGTTACAAGACCCACCTCTAACAGGCTGCTGTTCCCACTGGTGATGTGCTTGACCCCGGGACCTTTTTAAGACAAGAGGATAATTCAATGGTTGAGCCAAATTAAAATAAAACCCTGTCCGCGATAGACTTAATATACCTATGTTTTTTGTTTTTACAAGATCAATTGCGATAAATAATATATAGGATTAATTTTCATCCACATGCAAGTCAGCTAACTAAGAATGCTTATAACTTCATAGGCGCTGACTTTGGGAATGTCACTTTTTATATTGTCATGTCCAACAATTTATTCAGTTAACCGTAATAGCTTTTCTATCCCTCTCCTCACAGTTCTACTTGAGTATATCCCTCTTAATCGGCAGCCCGCAGTTCTATATACGTTGTTATTATTCCTTTTCAAAGCTGTTTTCATTTTCTTTTAAAATGTATTTAAAATGTATAACTACATGTTAGAAAAAGAAGGAGACATCTCGTGGTGATCGCTGATAAACCCTGACTAAAGCAATCGTTTTTTACGTGGAAATAATTGTGGCTTTAAAAACGCTGTCCGAAGTGAACACTCATTTCGTCCCTTAGACACCCAAGAGGTCTCCTTCATTTTCAACTCGGTTCTAAATGAAGTACTGTTTCGTTACCGTGTGAGGAAGACAACTCTAATGACCATTTATTTGCTCTGTAAGTGCTCGTAAATGATGTCACCACGCCAAACCTGTTGTAAACCTGCCTACGAAAAAGGAAATTTTGGTTGCTACATGAATCGTCCAAAACCGACAAGACTATAGATACAGCTATAGCGTAATACTACTAATACTTATGCAAAAGTAACTTCAATAAATTTGTATCAACATTGCTTTCTAACCAATAAACGTTGTTTACTTGTTTCAGAAGAAAAAAGAATCCATCATCGAATGCAGATGTTTTAACACTGCAGCCAATTTTCTCATTAACGATTTTTTTTTCTCTCTCTTTTTGTTCTCTTTTGTTTGTGTTTTGTTTATTTTTACAGGCAATATTGACTTTTTCGAGCATTTATTTGTGAAAAAAAAAATTGACGCCAGTTTTTTATCGCCTACGGCTCGTAGTTCCACAACACTTTGACAATGTCATGACTTCATTTTATCATCAGTAAGGGGACAGCCGACAAAAAACTGGCGTCAATTTGTTAAACTGGTGGCATGGAAAAATTGTGAATACCGTCAGGTTTGATTGTTACAAGCCATCTTAATTTTCTACTTAAATGATAAAAATTCTAAACTTGTACACCTTCACACTTAGGTAGCTTGAGAAAACAGCCGACATTTGGCGACGCTACCACTGGTTTCCCGCCAAATCACGTCTAAGAAACGAGCGCAGAAATTCCATACTGATGACGCGTCACTATCCAGATCTAAGTAGTGCTTCTGATTGGTTGAATCAAATTTTCCACGCTGCACGACCAATCAGAAGCACTACCCATATCTGGGTAGTGACGCGTCACCAGCATGGAATTTCTGCACTAGTTTCCTAGACGTCATTTGGCGGGGAAACCAGTGGTAGCGTCGCCAAATGTCGGCTGTTTTCTAAGGCTGACAGTTAGGTTACTCACTTCAATAGCGCCACTGTATCTCCTCCACCCGAATCACTGCCCCATCCCACTTTCCACTCTGAATTACGCAAACCCTTTCGTTCAATTGCCTCCACTTGGTTCACGTCTCCACTAACGGAACTTTGATCCAAATAATAAGCAACCTACAAATAAAACACAAATCTTCGCCAACTTTTAATTTTCAGTTTTCTTGAAGGATATAAACAAGGTCTTTTCTTAGCTTTTTTGCGATTCTCCAAATTTGGCATGTGTGCTGCAAGACATGGCTAGGGGGAGCCGGACAAAAAGTTTAGATTGCTTGTGAAATGTTTGTGATCCATGCAAAAACCCATCAAAAGTTAAATTCAGTTTTGTATCTTATAGCGAAAACAAATTTAAACTGTTCTGCGGTGTATCATGGACGAGCCAAAGTTGTTCAGAATTTAAATACCTCGGTATTAGAGGTATTTACCAAGTTCAGGCTCGAGTTCGAGTTTATTTATTAAGACAACATCAGTAATTTTAGACGGTACTAGTTACTTTCGTGAAAGAGTACTTACCAGTACTACGTTACTAATGGAAATGCCCGCGGGTAAATTGAGAATCCAGTTAACCGGTTCGTAGCTACCAAGGACGAGAACGATCGGTCTCTTTGACTTTCCGCGGCTGACGATATTCACAATAGCGTTTCCGGCAGTAGGTGGACGTCTGTTAATAACCTCATAAACAGACAGTACGTGGACCTCGTACTGCGTAGAACTGCTGTCAGGAGTGCAGCTGTAGGTGGTCTGGCGGTGTTGGTTGTTATACCTTGGTTTGGTAAGGGCCGTAGCAGAATTCACCTCGATTTTGCATCCATATACATCAGCTGAAGAAATGAAATAGTAACTCAGAGTGTCAGAGATGGTGATCGTTTTGCGGGTTGTGCAGACAGCCACTATTCACCCCGACTTCAAAGAATAATTGTTAGTAGTTATAGATAAGTGCAAAGCCTCTGCGTTAATCAAACAGGAGCCATTGACTATTTTCCAATTCCCCATAATACACTCTGTCTGCCCCCCAAATGTTGCATAACTTATTGTCTAAAATGCTCTTGGGAAAATGCAATACTCCCAGGAGCATTTAAAAACAATGGTTTATGCAAAATTTGGGGGGCAAACAGAGTGTATTATGGGGAATTGGAAAATAGAGAATTCTTATAACACACCTAAACTTATTAATACAATTTTTACTGACACATGTACCCGATATCTGAGGTTTTAGCTTTTCGTTATCATAACGAGACAACTTACGCAAGCAAGTGTCATAGTTGTAGCCTTGACCAGTGCAGACGCAATAACCGTCTTTGCAGACAGCCTTCATTTGGGAATATTGGCCAGTACAATAGAATGAGTTCTGCCATTTATAACACTTTTGCCTGTGTGGATTGGGTGTAGGTGATGGTGAGGTGCTGTATGTAGGTACAGGTGTGAAAGCTGGAGTCCCGGCAGCTGTTGGAGTTGGTGTGATGGTGGCAGCAGAGCTGGGAGTTGGTGTACCGGCAGCTGTTGGAGTTTGTGTGATGGCGGCAACAACTGAGCTGGTACTGAGGTTTCCATAACCTGAACCTGCTCAAGAGAAATGCGAAAAATAGTCTGGTAAAATCTAAAATTGATAGAAAGTATGATGTTAACCTGGACAAGAAGACTTTCAAACATGATACTTGTAATTTTCTTTACAACCACACTTACTAATCAATTTAACCAGGAAAATAGTACTATCTAAACAGACCGCAAGTAGGTTCAAGTAGCTATGACTAGGGGTACCTTCCGGCAAGTGCCAACGAGGAGAATTCGCTTATCTTTTGTGGAATGTGCCTATTCAGATCTTCTTTCATAATTTTAGAGGTTTAAAATGGATTCCGCTATAGAAAAGGATGGCACCCGACTTCAAAACAACAACTTTGGCACATTCTAGGCTTTCACTTTTATTAAACAATAACAACATGGCTTAAAGCTTTGTTGGTAAATATGAGCAAGTTAGCACTTATGTTTCATGGAAAATTCCATTGTATCAAAGCTATAAACGTTAGAAAGAAAAATATAGTTCAAATGAGGCCTTTGACTGCTGAAATTAAAAATAATAATTAAATTCCGAGCAACAGCGTCATCAGGGATAAGAAAAGTATTTTGCGTGGTAATATACATAAGAAAAAAGTTGGTGTAAACTAAAATGTGTGAAAAGGGCCCAAGAATGGGGCGAAATGTATTAGAGGTATAAAAATATAAACTTGAATAAAATACAAAGATCTAATGAGCGAGTGTCACAGGACAAAGAGTCTCTTGACGGCATAATGATAGTCTGAAAAACAAAAGGTCCGCAAATTCGTTGCATTCCTCACGGGAGTTTTGGGCTGTCTCAATGTAAATCGAGCAGCAAAAAAACATGCTGGTTGACAAAATCTCTCGAAAAACATAAATAAATTTTAAAAAAAAGGTCCGCAAATACGTTGCATTCCTCGCGGGAGGTGAGGAATGGCTCAATGTAAATCGACCCGCGAAGAACACGCTGGTTCTGATATAAGTTTCGAGAATATAACCCTATGCCTTGATCAACTACCGCTTAAAATTCAGTTCACAAAGGAAAAGAGAACACTGAAAACCCTGGTTCTGAGTCGAGAAGCGAACATGCTACCTCAATATAAATCGAGCTGCAAAGAACAAGCTAGTTCTGACAAAAGTTTGAGCGTAAAACCCTGTTCCTTGATCAGCTGCTGCTTTAAACACAATTCATAAAGCAAACCAGAGTACTAATTGCCCTTTCAAACTAGAAATCGTATTAAAACTTGCTCACCAGTTAGGTCCTCTTGAACAGACAACGAACAGCTGCCCACTGAATCACCCAACCTTGAACCACGAGTTTTAAATACAACACCATGACGTCACTACCCAAATATGGGGTCTTACTTACACCCAAATATGGTCAAAAATGCAAATTTTAGAGGGTTACGCAGAATTTGAGAGTTTTTGCCTACATTGCGCGGCGTTATAATTCTGCCTCCGAGTCAACCTCGCTTCTTAGCTCAGTTGCCTCTTTGGCAAAAAACATTACTGTTATGTCGGTTGGTAAGATGGTAAAACGTTACGTAAACGTACCGTTTGAGGAGCGTATCACCAGTGACCATTCATTCGCTCTGTAAGTACCTGTAAATGACGTCACCACACCAAATCTGTTGTACACTTTTCTATGATAAAAGGCAAAATGTAAGTTGGTATCTTAAACAACAATATAAAACTGTCTTATATCAAAATTATCAAGATCTGAACAGATTTGAGGATGCATGGATATTTTTCTATAAGAAATGTGGAATAACCTTAAGTAACTTTGCTGTTCAGTAAGTGACTTACTTTAGAAGCCCAACTGTATTTCCTCCCCCCGAATCACTGCCGTAGCCCGTTGGCCACTCTGAATTGCGGTATCTCTTTCGTTCAATTGCTTGCACTTGCTTCACATCTCCACTAACAGAACTTTCATCCAAATAATAAGAAACCTACAAATAAAACACAACTCTCCCTCACCAACATTTCTTTTCTTGTTTGAAAGACAAGATGATTATTTCATGGTTTTATTTTGAAAGTATAATAACGACTAGTCTAGCTCTGAGTGGAATGATTTTTTCTTTTTTACGTTCATGGTGTGCGAATGTACTTACCAATATAACTTTACTGATGGAAATACCAGAGGGTAAATTGAGAATCCAGTTAACAGGTTCGTAGCTTGCAAGTACGAGTACAATAGGTCTGTTTGGCTTTCCCCGACTGACGATATTCACATCAGCATTTTCACCTACTGGAGGACGTCGGTGGAGAGCCTCAGCTTCGTACACAGACAATATGTGGACCTCGTATTGGGTGGAACTGCTGCCCGGGGTGCAGCTGTAGGTGGTCGGCCTCTGTTGGTTGTTATACCGTGCTTTGGCAAGAGCTGTAGCAGAATTTACCTCAATTCTACATCCATATCCATCAGCTGAAGAAATGAAAAAATAACTCAGAGTGGCAGAGATGGAGATGGTTTTGGGGGTTGTGCAGACAGCGCGTGATTTATTCAGTCAATTGCAGTTTGCCTATATAAAGTGTGTGTGTCTTTAGGAAACATCTAGGAAGAGCAAGTCCTAACCAACACTATTGAGAACCCTCTTAGCTTCCAAGCAATACACCCCTCTATATAAACAATATGCTTAAAAGTAGTCATAGATAAGTGCAAATCCTCTGTGTTAATCAAACAGGAGCCATTCTTATAACACCTATTAACTTAGCAAGGCAATTTTTACTCACACATGTACCCGATATCTGAGGTTTTCGCTTTCGTTAACATAACGAGACAACTTACGCAAGCAAGTGTCATAATTGTAGCCTTGACCAGTGCAGACGCAATATCCGTCTTTGCAGACAGCCTTCATTTTGGAATATTGGCCAGTACAATAGAATGAGTTCTGCCATTTATAACACTTTTGCCTGTGTGGATTGGGTGTAGGTGATGGTGAGGTGTTGTATGTAGGTACAGGTGTGAAAGCTGGCGTCCCGGCAGCTGTTAGAGTTGATGTGGGGGTGACAGCAGAGCTGGGAGCTGGTGTACCGGCACCTGTTGGAGTTTGTGTGATGGCGGCAACAGAGCTGCTACTGAGGTTTCCATACCCTGAACCTGCTCAAGAGAAATGCGAAAAATGGTCTAGTAAAATAAAAAAATTGATCGAAATTATAGTGTAACCTATGGTACACAAACAATTTTCCAAAAATGATGCTTTGAAATTTCTTGGCAATTAGATGAATCAAGTTAACCAGCCAAATACTATAATCCAACTGAACGCCGATAAAAAAAAGAAAAACAGTGATTTTTTGCGGTTGACAAGAGCAGAGTTTAATAGCTGAGCCAAACTGAAATAATACCCTTTCCACGATGTGTATATTTGAGCCAGATCGATTATGATAAATCAGCAATAAATAGGATAAATTTTCGTCCAAATAACTTGATTGACATTGACTTTGGGAATGGCACATACGGTTAGCTGTAATAGCTTTTCTGTCCCTCTCCTTACAGTTCTACTTGAGTACATCCCTTTTCTACAGTTTTTCGTTTTCCAAAGCTGTTTTACGTTTTCTTTCAATACTTATAGTAACTGTATAAGTAAGTTATGATAGCAATGGAAGAAGAATTCTTAAACAAAATGACTTCCAATAAACCTTGACAACGCCATTATAGTAAAGTATTGTAGCAATTCAATTTATGGCTTAAACGCTATCCGAAGTGTACGCTCATTTTGTCCTCGAAACACACAAGAGGTCTCTTTCATTTTTACCCTGCGAGCAGAGGCTACATTCGCTGTGTGAGCTGACGTGCGAAAAGTAGCCTCGTGCATGCGCGAAATTCGTCACGCGATTCGTAAGCAAAATTAATTGTCGGCAGAGGCTACTTTTCGCACGCCAGCTCACACAGAGAAAATGTAGCCTCCGTTCGCAGGGTATTTCATTTTAAACTCGGTTCTGAATAAAGTACTTCTTAGTTACCGTGTAACGAAGACAACTCCAGTGACCATTCATCTGCTCTGTAAGTGCTCGTAAATGATGTCACCACGCCATATCTCTTGTGAACTTGTCTAGAAAAAAGGGAACTTTAGTTATATGAATAGTCCATGCAAAACCGACAATACCAGGCATATAGCTATGACACAATTCTTGTATCAAAGTGTTTCAATAAAATTGTATCAAAAATACATTCCAAAATTAACCCTCTTTATTGCGGATAGCTAGAGCAGTGTGTACATTTTCGCTTTTTAATGTTGAAATGAAAACTTGTAAACCTTAAACTACAATCATGGAGAAAAGTCTTGGGACAAACCAACCTCGTTCCCAGGGTTCTCTCCTACCCTGGGAACGAGGTTGGGAACGAGGCTGGGGACAAACTAGCGTTCATGAGACTCAGTTATAAATCACAAATCCCCAACCCTCCCTTCTACCCCACATACGACGTTAAACGCGTATATCCAGAATTTCCGGTCTTGAACATTGTATAGGGTGGGGAAAGGGAGAACGTCAATGTATTTTCCTGAAGGTAGTACAGTTTTATGAGAGCACCCAGAAATTACAGATAATTACAAATATTGCTTCACTTTCCCAAGAACTCTTGTGCAGCCGATTGAAGTTGTTTATTTGTTTAAGAATCCCAACGAAATTATCCATCGCCAGAGGCAGATATTTTCAGGGGTGACGTATTAGAAAAGTTTTGGCGGGGGTGTGGAGTTTTCAACCTGCACGTTGTTGTTGTTGTTTTTTTTGCGTTAATATTCCCTTCATTTCGTCGGCAATTTTTTCTTGCGTAAAGATCTTTTTTTTCATCGAACGCCCCACCCCTCCCCCCCCCCAATGACTTTACTAATGATCCGTCCCTTTAGAAATTGTTTAATTTTCCCTTTGATTGTGTTATGTTTTGTCCCAGGTCTCTCTCTCTCTCTCCATACTCCCAAACATAGCACTTTTCCATTTGGCCTGTGGCAAGGTTACTACTAAAACACTGTTGAAAAAGGGGGAGGGGGTCGAAAGCACGTGAAAGGCTAACTGATAAGTCACTAAGACATGGCAAAAATTGTGGAGATCACCCTGAATATGTTTTCTTTTACTGTAAGGTTACTCACTTCAATAGCGCCACTGTATCACCCCCTCCCGAGTCACTGCCCCATCCTACTTTCCACCCTAAATTGCCCCAAGGCTTTCGTTCAATTGCCTTCACTTGGTTTAAGTCTCCACTAACGGAACTTTGATCCAAATAATAAGCAACCTACAAATAAAACACAAATCACCATCAACATATCACACGTTGTTTCTTTTCGTAAAGGACATAAATAGGATTATTTCTTAGTTATTACTCAACTTTGGTGAAAGTTTTCCCAACATTGATGCCTGCTATGGCAATCAAACTGCCTTAAAAGTTTTGTTGAATAGGTATGACAAATAATTTTAACTTCTTGTGACATATTTGCCGGTGATCCCAACCAAAAAAATTGATCAAGACATAAGATTTTACATCTCAAAGGTAAACTGACAAATTTAACCTTTTTAGGTGTTCCCGGGGCTACTATACACTGGATAGGATGATTTGTAAATGAGCGATTTTTAAGTGTTTCCGTGGACTTAAGCCAGGTAATGACGGCTTTGTAAAGGTCAGAGAAGTTGAATTTGACGATGCCTATGTCCTCTGCTATTTCTTTGGTATTTTGTTTTAGTGAAAGGGGTTTTTTGACTTTAATAACATGACCCGCTTAATACGGACACCCCGTTCGTACAAACACTTTTGTTTGACTGTACCTCAGCCATACCACACTTACCTCCAATATAAAAGGTTTCTGTTAACACAATAATTTCGCTAATATCAGTTCCTATTACGAAAGTGTACTTACCAAAATAACTTTACTGATGGAAATACCAGCGGGTAACTTGAGAATCCAATTTACAGGTTCGTAGCTACCAAGTACGAGTACAATAGGTGTATTTGGCTTTCCCCGACAGACAATATTCACATTAGCATTTTCACCTACTGGAGGACGCCTGTGGAGAGCCTCAGCCTCGTACACGGTCAATATGTGGACCTGATACTGTGTGGAACTGCTGCCAGGGGTACAGCTGTAGGTGGTCGGGCGCCTTTGGTTGTTATACCTTGGTTTGGCAAGAGCTGTAGCAGAATTCACTTCAATTTTACATCCATATGCATCAGCTGAAGAAATGAAAAGGTTACCAGAGTAATAATCAGGATAAAGAGAAGAAAAAAACCACAATCAGAGATGCAGAGATGGAGTTGATGTTTGGGATTGCCGCATCACTGGTGGTACTGTGTTGACTAACCAATTCTTCTTCTTTTAATAACTGAACCCTTCCACGGTTTTTCCAACTTTTAACTTGGACCAGTCAGCGAAAATCTGTAAACACGGCTAACAAGAACGCCTTAAAAATAGTGAAGATGCCAATTTTGAACGTGATTTCTTGAACATTAACGAGGATATTGCCACGCAAAGCCGCCGAATTTTACAGACGTTTGGATGTTGAGGGCAAGTTCGAGCAAACCTTACAAACTTTGTAAAATTTCGCGACTCTGAGGAGCAATATCTTTGCTTGTTTTTAAGATATTACCTTTCAACTTGATAAGTTCCCCAATCTTAAGGCGCTTTTTCCAACAGTGTTTATGTTTTATTCAGGCGATAATGCGACCTCATACTCTTACAAAAAGATCAGGGAACTCCTAAACATCACAGTATGAAACCTCCTTCAAAAATATAGGCTCTGTTTTCTAGAAACGTTATTTTGAGTCAACATAATAAAAGGCTAAATCGGGCTATGGAATGCGGTTATATCTTTGTCTTGGCACCTTTGTACGTCTTCTGTCGACCACTGAGCGTCAGCTTATTGTACCTGATCTGTGGAAATCATAAGAAAACAACTTACGCAGGCAAGTGTCATAGTTGTAGCCTTGACCAGTGCAGACGCAATATCCGTCTTTGCAAACAGCCTTCATTCTGGTATATTGGCCACTACAATAATATGAGTTCTGCCATTTATAACACTTTTGCCTGTGTGGAATGGGTGTAGGTGATGGTGAGGTGCTGTATGTAGGTACAGGTGTGGAAGCTGGTGTCCCGGCAGCTGTTGGAGTTGGTGTGATGGTGGCAGCAGAGCTGGGAGTTGGTGTACCGGCAGCTGTTGGAGTTTGCGTGATGGCAGCAACAGAGCTGCTACGGAGGTTTCCATACCCTGAACCTGCTCAAGAGAAATGCGAAAAATGGTCTGGTAAAATTTAAAATAGTTAGAAAAAAAAATAATGGAAATTATAGTGTAACCGATAGACTGCTATAGTACACAAACAACTTCCCAAAAATGATGCTTTTAAATTTCTTGGCAATTAGATTAATCAAGTTAACTAGGAAAACGGTATAATCCAAATGAACTCCGATAAGACAGTCACTGATATTTTGCGGTTGACAAGAGCAGAGTATAATGGCTCATCCAAATTCAAAAAAATACCCTTTTCACGATGTATATGTTTGAACCAGACCGATTATGATAAAAAATAAATATGATTAAAGTTTCGTCCAAATGCAAGTCTTCTTCTAAGAATGCATATAACTTAATTGACATTGAACTTTGGGAATGTCACGGCCTGTAATAGATCTAGATTTTCTAGCCCTCACCTTACAGTTCTACTTGAGTACATCTCTTTTCCATAGTTTTTCGACAGTTTTTACTCCTTTCCAAATCTTTTAATATTTATTGTAACTGTATAGGTAAGTCATGACAGCAATGTAATAGAAGGAGAAATCTTAAACAGACTGACTTCAATAAACCTTGACTGCACCGTTATAGTAAACTATTGTAGCAATTCAATTTGCGTTTAATCAAGGTACAAATAATTGTTCCTTAAACGCTGTCCGAAGTGTATGCTCATTACATTCCCGAAACACACAAGAGGTCTCCCTCACATTTTAAACACGGTTTTGAATAAGGTACTGGTTGGTTACCGTGCGAGGAAGACAACTCCAGTGACCATTCATCTGCTCTGTAGGTGCTCGTAAATGATGTCACCACGCCAAATCTCTTGTGAACTTCTCTACAAAAAAGGGAACTTTAGTTATATGAATACTCCAAGTAAAACCGACAATATCGGGGATACAGCTATGACACAATTCTTATATCAAAGTGTTTCATTAAAATTGTATCAAAAATCCCTTCCAAAATTAATCCTGTTTATTGCGGATAGCTAGAGCAGTGTGTGTACATTTTCGCTTTTTAATGTTGAAAAAAACCTTGTAAACTTTAAAAACTACAATCATGGACAAAAGTCTTGGGACAAATTAGCATTTATGAGACCCTTTATAAATCACACATGCCCAACCCTCTCTCCTATCCCTCATATAACGTTGGACGCTTATATCCAGAATTTTCTAGTCTTGAACATTGTATAGGGTGGGGAAAGGGAGAACGTCAATGTATTTTCCTGAAGGTAGTGCAGCTTTATGAGAGCACCCAGAAATTTACAGATAATTACAAATATTGCGTCGCTGTCCCAAGGACTTTAGTGCAGGATTGAAGTTGTTTACATGTTTAAGAATACCAACGAAATTATCCATCGTCAGAGGCAGATGTTTTTAGGAGTGTCGCATTAGAAAAGTTATGGCAGGGGTGGGGAATTTTCAACCTGCATGTTTTTTTCTTTCTTTCTTTCTTTCTTTAACATTCCCTTTATTTCTTCTACAATTTTTTTCTTGCGTATAATTTTTTTTTTTCATCGCCTTCCCCATCCCCCCATCCAATAACTTTACTAAAGGTCCGTCCTTTTATGCATTGTTTAATTTTCTCTTTGATTGTATTACGGTTTGTCCAAGGTCTCTCTCGCTCCATACTCCCAAACATAACAGTTTTCCATTACATTGATTTTGCCTGTGGCAAGGTTGCTACAATAACTCAGTTGTTGAAAAGCAAGTGAAACGCTAACTGATAAGTCACTAAGCCATGGAAAAATTGTGCGGATCACCCTGAATATGTTTTACTTTGCTGTAAGGTTACTCACTTCAATAGCGCCACTGTATCACCTCCTCCCGAGTCACTGCCCCACCCCACTCTCCACTCTGAATTACGCCAACCCTTTCGTTCAATTGCCTTCACTTGGTTTAAGTCTCCACTAACGGAACTTTTATCCACATAATAAGCAACCTACCAATAAAACACAAATGGTCATCAAAATATTACACGTTGTTTCTTTTCATAAAGGATATAAATAGAGGATATTACATGTCTGCGCGGATTTCTTAGTTATTACCAAAGTTTGGTCAAAAGTACAAGTTTGCCCAACATTGTTACCTGCTTTGGCAAGCAAACTGCCTTGAAAGATTTGTTAAATAGGTATGACCTCACCAAGAGCCATGGCTCTTGGTATGACAAATAATTCAGTTATAATTTTAATCTATTTGGGTGATCCAAACAAAACAATTACGTAAAACATAAGCTTCTAATCAGACATCTGAGAGCTATGATTATGATTATCGATTTTCAACTGCTATTCTAACACCCCCAAACATTTTGAACCTAGATTTATGTAGTGTTAAAATACCTCGGTCATACACGCACTCACCTGCAGTATGAAAGGTTTATTTTAACACAACATACTCATACTCTAAGCAGTAGAATAATTTCGCTAATATCAGTTCCTATTACGAAAGTGCACTTACCAAAATAACTTTACTGATGGAAGTACCAGCGGGTAACTTGAGAATCCAATTTACAGGTTCGTAGCTACCAAGGACGAGAACTATCGGCCTGCTTGACTTTCCGCTGCTGACGATATTTACAATAGCGTTTCCGGCTGTTGGTGGACGTCTGTTAATAACTTCGTATACAGTCAATACGTAGACCTCGTATTGGGTTGAACTGCTGTCAGGGGTGCAGCTGTAAATGGTCTGGCGCTTTTGTTTGTTGTACCATGCTTTGGCAAGAGCTGTAGCAGAATTCACCTCGATTTTGCATCCATATGCATCAGCTGAAGAAGTGAAATAGTAACCAGTAATAATCAGCATAAAAAGAACAGAAAAATCGCAATCAGAGATGCAGAGATGGAGTTGATCTGCAAACACAGCTATGATGAACGCCTTAAAAAACAAGAAGAAGCCAATTTTGAACGTCATTTGTTGAACATCAACGAGGATATTACTGCGCAGAGTCGCCGATTTTAACCGACATTTGAATATTGGGGGGCAAGCTCTAGCCCACCATACAAACGTCTGTAAATTTCAGCCCTGTTGTTGTTGGTTGTTTGGTTTGGCAAGGGCTGTAGCAGAATTCACCTCGATTTTAGATCCATATGCATTCGCTGAAGAAATGAAATAGTTACTAGAAATTAGCATCGGTTGAATAACACGACAAGTTGAGGGCTGGGTTGGAGAATTAAAGGGGTGTGTGTGTTAAGGGAATTACATTTAAGTTTTATTACTTAAATCACATTTCGTAGTATGTTAACGGTTGTGATCTGTTCTAGATTTATACATTTGATTGTACTGATTTGTCTGTACAACTGTAACAAAACTACTTACGCAAGCAAGTATTATAATCGTAGTCTTGACTATTACAGACGCAGTAACCACCTTTGCAGACAGCCCCCATTCTATACGAACCAGAGCAGTAGTTTCCCAAACATCTCTGGCGCTGTCCAGAAACATTATTTAAGTAGGAACTGATCAAGGCAAGCAAAATAGCTAAGGCAAAGAAATTGGTGTTCATGATCCTCAGCTGTTTACTGCGAAGACAAAAGATTTCTCAAGTTAAGAAGTTTGTGAAACTTTTGCTAGCAAGAATCTTTCATTAAAATTGGGAAAATTTCCGGGATTATATCAAACCTAGTAAATACCTCTCTGCCATCAGCGCTACTACATGTAATTCTAACACGAAATGTCTTAAAGGGGGATTTAGGAAAGAGTAAACTAATAATGAATCAAAGCTGTCGTTGCACTGCTACAATCGAGTTCTTACCGGCGAATCAGGTCGGGAAAAGCTGAGGCGTTGTTTCTTTTGTAGTCTTTGTATCCCGGTGCTTATTAGTTGAATTCCCTAACAATCCTAAACAAGAACTTACTACATTCTAAAAGTACTTTGGTTTTCCCGCTATACTAACAAGAGTACATTTGCATAAATCATGATAAATCGCATGTACAGAAAATTTCCGAGCTTACAATATTGCATACGATACACACAGGATGACCGAATGCGACCCCTCTTCTCACTAGATAGACTACTAAATATTACTTGGGGGTTCTTATCTAGATTGAAGGGTTATGTATCATTACCGCATTTGCAGGAGAAAGGAAATATCTCGAATTAATTAATCGTTGACAGTGGCATTGTTCCTTATATGACATTCTTAAATATATAGGGTTTCGTTTATCGTTTGTCACTTAGATATTGATCGCGACACCTCGACCGCGATAGTGTAAAATTTACTGAGTAGGACTATTTGTATCACCTTGCTCATGGTTGGTTGGTTTCGATCCAAAGCATGGTTGACATTATCAGAGGAGGAAACTGAGGAAACTTACCCGCGGGTTTGTACTGTATTCGCAGGGCTTCGCTACCACTTTGTGTCAGACAGACTCCGGTATTGCACTGATTTCCCTTTCCAGGTGACCAAGTTTTCCTGTTCGCTTTGTCTGGTACATATACCGAGAAATAAGTAGTTTCGTGCCAGTTTCATTCATAAGGAATTATTTTGGACAGTTTTTATAGGCTCATTTACGTGTTTGAGAAACTGTCAACTTGGATCCGACGTTGGCCCTTGGCCATTTGCCGTAAACGTGAGTCTAAATCTCTATTCACTGGATTAATCGTCCATTGCTTACTTACGGACTGTAATTAATAGCTGTTACTCTTTGTACATTGAATGTTACGAGGAATTCCTGAGTTACAGTTCGGTTAAAGGGGTCAAATCAAATGCACGTCCGTTAAATAAGACATCAGAGATTTCTTTAGTTGAAAGGTGGACTAAACCGAGACGCCACACTTACCTCGTTAGCTTGTTTTCAGTTACAGACACTAGCTGGCTTCTGGAGTGAAGTCTCTGATTGCAGAGAAAAATTTAATGTCTTCTTTTAAAAACCAAACTCAGTCATTGAATGAATACTACAAAATCAGATCAAACTGAATAAACGGCTTCAACGGCCTAGTTTATAAAGTGTGAAAAAACTTCCCATTAGACTCCGACAATATCGTCGAATGTACTGCACCTTAATTGGTTGAATACAGTGACGTATGTTAGAGTAATTTTTCATTGAGAGTTTCAGTTTCAGTATACTCGGAAAAATACTACAAATAAAGTCGTTCAATATATTGCATACATGAAAAAACTAATAGCTGCAGGTTAAAGGTGACGTTATTAAATAAGTAAAAGAATTAGAAATATTTTTCAAGCTCAAATTGAAGCCATGAGTACAATCTCTCTTAACGGACACCCCTAAAGACGAACACCTCTCTAAGATTAGATTGACACTTGGTGTTTGTCCCTGCCGAGCTCTGCCGTTTTTCAGTCATTTTACTGTTAGTAACTATACTCTTTGTAAGACTGACACCTTTCTAAGACAGACAACGGACATGCTTTTGAAACCGTCAACGGACACTTGAGAAGTGCTGATGGAGTGAAAATACCTCCAAAAGGAAACATAACAGTAAATTGCAAAATTTTCTCATATTTTGGAATCTTGCTTAAGACACGAAGCCGTGAACGACTTTGCACGTAATGAACGTGTGATTGCACAATGAGAAAATGACATCAAGCTGTCGGTGTCAGAAACTCCTTATTCAAGGTCCTTTCAAGAAAATTGTTTTGAGAAAAGAATATGTTAGACATGTTAGTATCATCAGCGAAAAAAAACACACAGGAACCTTCAAGATATTGATGACTTTGCCTAGAGAGCGGATATCCTCTCTCTTGAGCTACTTGATCTACACTGTATATCATTGTAGTTTCAGTTATTTTCCCACAACTACCCACCGGAACCCATAACAGAACTACATTTAAAACATCTAGAGACACCAGCAGAGATGATTATCCTAGCTATGTTACTGACTGTGGACGGTGAGGTAAAATAATAACTTTCAACGGTCAAAACAGTGCTCCAAGGCTAAAACGCTTCAAACCGTCCTCATTGTTCGTGTAGATTCACCGTCAAACAGGACGAATGCAATAAGCACGTCTCGCTTTTCTTATCTTCTTAGCGTAACGATATCACAGAGATGCATTCAATACGCCATTCCGCATTTATTAAAAATATCTTCCTGTGTAACTTTCCAACCAAGAGAGGATTATCATCCCGTCTTGTTCTTACTACGTCAGCTTACGTCATAGTTTTTGCGCAATCTTCACCATCCACGCTATGTTCTCGCTTATCGTACTGAAGTGTAGAACTGCAAGCTAACATGAGCAAGTTTTAACAACCACGACATAAGTTTAGTAAACAGGGGAACAACTGTGTACGGATGTTACTAAAACAGGCAACGGGAAATTGAACCCTAACGCGATCAGCAAATTCATTGCCAATTCTCTGTTTTGTTCCCGTTTTTCCTTTTAGTAGCATCCAACTGTGTCTTCTTTGCCGTCCCTACACGGCTACGACGTAAAACTTCCAAAATTAAAACGCGGCATTTTATGGGGTCGTAAACACGCGATCACGAATAGATTCTTCTACAACTGAAAAAAATTCGGCGAGTTGGAATAATCGCAATTAAGATTAATTAAAAAGACGCGAATGTACATTATAATTAGTTGTCGCTGCCGTTGGCCTTGGAGTTGCGTCAACTCCCTTTTGTGAACCACTCTCCGACTTCGAAGTAATTTATGATTCATCTGAAAGAAAGTTTGTACAGTATTTAACTTAGCGGAACGCCTCCTCTCTCCATGTTTGTCTCCCGCTCAAACGATGTCTTTTCACTATGGCATGGCTGTAGCCATCCTGGTAGCTTAAGATTTTCATAATCTTTAAATTCTAACTGTTAGGACTAAGTCAAATGTAAATTGCTACAACAACAGTTTTAAACAAAGTTCGCACGAAACAAACACAGAGCTGACCTAAAAGTTCAGTGGCCATTCAGAGCATGCGCCAAAAGCATTATTAACTGGTTAGTGGTTAGCCGTAATGTATAGAGTACAAATATGACTTATTCACTTCCTAGAGTGCCTCCTTGAAAACAGTCTAGCGCTTATACTGAATAATTTTTATCGTTACTGTTCTAACTATAAAGCCTAAGAAGCTCTCCATGATCTGGTATCCAGGTGCACTCTCAGGTACTGAATTGAAGAAGAGGTCTGTCAAAATTTAAAACAAAGAGCAATTTTTGTGTTACCTTGCGCAAGCAGTAACTTTCCAAAGATGATTCAAACATAGTTTGTTCGTATTAGAAAGTTGTGGAACGACATATGCAATAAACATTTCCCTAGTAGTTTTACCTCCTTAGGCTGTTTTAAATCATTTTTGATAAATATGTATAAGTCTCTTTTAATATCAGTTTTTGAGGTCTGTCCGTGATCCATCTCATGGGACTGTCCATGTCACCATACTTAGATTATGTTTTCGATTGTTTTAGTTTTTGTATATACTTCAAATTCTTTCATTCCCTTTCAATGGCCCGTCTCATGGGTCTGATCGTTCCGTCCGCGCCTTTCCCTCTTAGGCATCCATTTTTCTTCAAAAATTTTAATATAACTTTCATTGAATGAATGGAATAAATACTTCAGTCATCGTCGCATAAAACAGAATAAACTTCATACGCAGTTCATCTTGAAAGTGTAAAACTACTCACGATCATGATCAGTTCCCAACTGAAATAATAATTCACAGTAAAGGCACCCTTTAATTGGTTACAAACAGTGACGTAAGAGAGTAATTTCATGACAACTGAATTCACCGTTTTTCCTTGTAGTCTTGTTTCAGTTAGCAGAGTGTATACTGTTACGCTTTAAGACCACTAAGTCGTGAACGAGTTTGCACGTAATGAATGTGTGGTTGCACAATGAGAAAACGATTATTCTACTTCTCTATTACAACGTCCTGGCTTAATACGTGTATTCATTGCGAATGGGTTCAGCTTTAGTTTCTTAAAATTACTGGCGTCACGTTACCTCAACTCTCTATAAGCCGAACAACTCACTAGGACGGACAGTCAGGAACGGTCCCAAAGGTCTCCGTCTTAGAGAGAGTTGAATGTGTTACTACAGCTGTTATTATGAGCTCCCTCCCTAACCTAAGACTATAAATACAATACATGAGCGGCGAAATCATGTCGAAATATAAGTTAGGATAAAAAGCAAGCAAAACAAAACACACGCGGATAAAGCAGCAAAAAACACCAAATCATATCTACATATCTACATATGGATAATCAGCTAAGGAGAAATGCTTTCAATCGAGATATAAAAGGATCGGTGTGAGCATAAAGAATATAATATCCCTTACTCGCTCAATGGCGCAATCACTTATTTCTAGGGCTTGAAAACCACAAATTTGGATTTTGAATAATTTATTGATAACGTATTGGCCTAGCATCAAGCTGTCGGTGTCAGAAACTCCTTATTCAAGGTCCTTTCAGGAAAGTCGTTGTGAGAAAAGAATTTGTTAGACATGTTAGTATCATCAGCAAAAAAAAAAAACAGGAACCTTCAAGATATTGATGACATTGCCTAGAGAGCGGATATCCTCTCTCTTGAGCTACTTGATCTACACGGTATATCATTGTAG